TTTCATCGTTTTATTTAAAGAGACGTTTTAACTAAATGGCATCAAAAAGATTCTACATGTGAGGTTTGTATGTATAATTACGCCAGTGGAGCAAAGTTTTTGCGGGAACTTTTTTTGCAGATCGTGAAAAACCCCGCGAAAATCGCAAAAAAATTCGTGCCACATGGTAGGATATCACCAACCACTGTAAAGGACTTTCCGAGGTATTGGGTGTTGTTTCTAATATTTTCAGCTTCTACTCCTAGTTGAAAACAGGTTCTTTCCCAACAGCTCCTCTTCGACTGTGGATTGAATGCAAAATAATCTCAGGTCCTGGTCAACAAGGAGGACCGACTTCAGAAATAGCATTGGCGTCACAGGAACACGAAGCAGGGGTTCCCGTCCCGGAGGGGTTCCCGTCACGAAGTAGAGAACCGGCTTCGGAGATAGTAATGGCCTCACAAGAACAGGAAACAGGGTTGCCGGGCCAGGGTATGACAATGGTACCTATGACCTCCCGTGAACGAAAGGCAGACACTAGTTTTCCCACAGCACAACAAGTTTTGAACCTCGCGGCGTCAAAATACTTGACGACAATTGACCCATCGAAACCCGAGGAATTAAATGGCTTTGTTTGTTACTTGGAGAAAGTACGAAAAACGTTGATCGTTGACACTCAGTCAGGGAGTTTGATCATCACAGTTGAATGTCGCTCTCTGGAAATGCTTGACGAATTGTGGTCTGATTACTGCACTGGCTTTCTAAATGAAATGGCGCAAATATTCCTTGTAACAGAGGAGATTCTGAGGGAGCTTGGTCTCACTGAAGTGAAGCTCACAACTACCATTTTAGAGGAGGAGTACAGGGCTTGTCAAGAGTATTTGTTGCAACATTCGGGTAAGTCCAGGAGCTTGTATGAACACGTATGCTGTTTCTGTACTTTGATTTCTCTGAAGGCAACGAAGATACTATCGGTTTTTCCATCGCAATGGACCATTTTGACGATATCGATGACACAATATCAGCAATTTGGCGGAAGTTTTCATATAAACATTCTCAAATCATTAATGATTCATCATCTTGGAACAAAGGTAATCATGACCGCGACAGTTTTTGGATATCTGATCTTAATTAGCATAGATTTTTACAATTTTATTTCTCCGTTTTCTCCTTAGTTTTGGCTTCAATTGAGAAGATATATCAAACACTCAAGACTCAAGTCCGTCAAAAATACTCCGCTGCGCGTCGTATTTTCAACTCTCCTCTCGGTGTTTGAAAATGTGGTCAAACGCGGTCTTTCATGTTTGATATATTACATGAAGACACCACCATAGATTTTTTTATCGTGCCGAATTTATTGGTCAAGATTAACTCATGGAAATATGGGGACCCCAAACTTGCCAATTCAGTTAAAAGAAAAATTATTGCAAAGGGCAACGCTTGACCCCTGGAAACAGATTCTTCTAAAACTATGCAATTTTACAATTACTAAATTCGGCATGATAAATCGAGCGGTTAGTCTTGCGTGATTTATTTGCTTGAATGAAAAGAAGGGAAAAGCTTTACATCGTCGAAAAGGTCCATTGTTTTATTAAAATAGTCAAAAAGTAGTATTGACTTAACTGTGCTGGTTGGCGAGAAATAAAAGCGTCGGATGGTACGTTTGATTCCACTATATGCAGTTATTATCCAAGTAAATGAAAGAAAGCATCAAATGGGGAATAGATAAGGAGGAGGAGGAGGAATGGCTACAATCTTTAGCCTTGTTTTCAGCTGATGTTCGAAAGTCGGGTTGCTCATTTTCAGATATTTTCCAGTTGTTCTTCCCCAGGTTTCCTTTTTCCGACCACGTGTTCTCTTACTCAGTCGTGTCCAGTTTTAGAGTGGAGACTTCCAGGTGGGAGCCCACCCATCATACGTCTGTATTTCTGCATCCTCCTCACCTATGTCAGTTGTTTCTTTTGTTACGGTTTCTGTAGCAATAGTTATTTTTTACGGGGTAGGATTGCTAGCCTCTCCCTTTGTTTGACTTAAGGACTACATGGGGGAATGAAACCAGAGGATCCAGCAGGCAGAGTTAATACTAGCGTTTAATGTGATTTTATTATATTTCTTTATTTCAGTTCATGAACTGCAAAGCTTTACAAGTAAGAGGGATACCGGATTCGCTCTAGAGTTAACACGAGAAAAAGGATCACATGAGCTAACACCAGGAGAACAGTTTTGGGCTTTGTTTTGAGGTAATACCCGGGAAACGACCTCGTGAGCCTACTCCGGAAGAAGGGCTGAATGAAATAGCACCAAGAGAAGGAACTCATGAGCTGACTCCTCAAGCAGGAGGACCAGGTACAGATAACGTATTAGAAACTCAGTTGCAGAGAAAGGAAAGAATCTCACCAGGTCCGGTCATTTTTCGCCCTCCCAGATGTAAAAATGTTTGCGGCAGTTCAACTAGGCATTTGGGTCTTCGGGATGGTATGCAAATCTTCGTTAAGAAGCTGACTGGAGAAGTGACATTTTTTAATGTTAAGCCGAACGATTTTATTGCTATTGTGAAGGGAAAAAATCAAGAAAAGTGGAAAATTCCGTCTTACCGCCAGGCGCTTCTTTTTGCTGGTAAAACACTTCAAGATGACCCCACTCTTCATGACTACCATATCACGAGAGAATCCACCTTACACGTGATTGAACGAGTTCGCTGGGGCCTGCAAATCTTCGTCAAGACGGTAACTGGGAAAGTGATCACTTTGATTTTCGAATATCGATGTCCTATCGCATTTGTGAAACAGGACATTCGAGACAAAGAAGGCTTGCCTCCTGACCAACAGCATCTTATTTTCAGGGGTCAGGAACTCGAAGATGAGCGAAAGTCATTGGAAGCATTGGAAGACGACAACGTCAATGACGGATCAATTCCACATTTAAGGCTAAGGGGCAACTTGGTAGAATACTTGTAAATGTGAAGATGCCAGCTGGAGAGACGCCAACGTTCGCGCCTCTTACCGAGCGATAGTATTGAGGACGTAAAAAGGAAACTTTACGACAAAGAAGGAATCCCACCCTACCAACAGTGTCTCAGGGGCTCTACTGAAATGTCATCAGAGCAGGTTTCATTTCGTGCGCCACTAGACTTCATAATGGCGAAATGCTGGTGTGGCAAACTGCGCGAAAATATTAACCTCGGAAAGTAGAAGAGTGAAACTCGGAGATTCACTGGATACGACAACGATATGATGGTGTAAACGAATTTTCGTCAGAGTTGACTTTTTTAAACAATTACCGTTCCCAAAAATTGAAGTTTTTTTAAAATTATAAGTATCAATAAATGTCAACTCCCGTCTCTGGAAAACAAAGTAGGTCCGCATACTTATGTTCGCTTATGTTTGTTTTTATATCATTTTGTTTGATAGTTATTTCAAATGTCAGTATCCGGGAAATCACTGGAAAGATAAAGAGATAAAGATTAATAAATTAGGTAATATAGATTTCTAGATTGCTGTTATCAACACAGACCAGTTGTTATAAATTCTAAGCGGAAATTTTATGGAAAGCAGAAGACTTTGCTTACAGAGTCAAATAAACTTGTACATGTAGCGTCAAGATGGTTTCCTGGGGCCTGTTTCTCGAAAGTCCCAGAAACTTTTCGTTAATCGGTATTTAAAGACTGACTGGTGTATACGCCTAAAACTTCTTGTACGGAATGGAACCTCCCTTTATATTAAGAATATGTGAATAAAACAGCTCTGTAATCATAAGCTTTGAGATTTTGCTATGGCTTTCCGGGTGCGAAAACTTCGGGATCTTCGAGAAACGGGCCCCTAGAATGACTAAGCCTGTTGCACCTGTACATAATTAAGTCAGCAACTGAGATTTTACCAATTAGTCCCACATATACACCTTGTCAATTGCATTTAATTACACTGAGGTTCTGATACGTTTATGCCGTGAATGTAAAGAGGTATTGACAGGTTGAATGACAATAATCAATTTGCATACAAGATGGGTTTTTTTTTATTAAGATGTCACTCTAAGTACAGTAAAAAGAAAACAATATTGTTGATACATGTATGTTTCTCATGATAGATTGCTGTAAGGTTACATGTATATGTTGATCAGCGGGTAGTGTTGTGCATAATAGTTTCAGGAGAGAAGAGTGCAAGTATTGGGTGGGGGAATGTTATGAGTTTTTAGCTCAAACCGAAGTGTCAGCACACAAATTCTTTTTACTGGTCTCCACGCATCCTTATATTCGGGTATAAGCAACGGATATTTTTCTCGAAATATCTGTTCCGATTTCCTACTGACTGGGAAACGCACGGGCGCTCGCCGTCTTTAACCTAGCCGGGTGCTTCTCGCCGTTTGTTTTTGCTGGCTGGTTAAGTTATGTTTGATTAGCTAGAATCTTCCGTTGCCCTCCCCCGTCCCCTTCTCGTAGAAGGCAAGATGCGGAATTAGAGCCACACCCAGCCTCCTACCTCCCAAACCCCGTACTTAAGGTGTGGGTATTGCCTTGGAGCCACGCCCATTTATTCCTTTCCTTCCTCAGTGTAAATTTAACAAATTGACGGCAGTTCTTCATGCGTCTGTCCGGTTAATGATCATGAATTTCGTCATAACATTGTCAAAGTAGCTGTGGATCCACGAGGTGCTATGACGAAATTTATTGTCAATAACAGGACAAACACATGAAAAACTGACGCAAGTTTGTTTCTGAAATTAAAAATTCCTGTATCTGTCCGCTTATGGACAATAAAAATTAGCTAATGAACGCGCGTGAATTTCTACAGCTACTGTCAGAATGACTCTTGAACTAAACTTCCATCGGTACTAAGTGTGCTCAAATTCTGGGGATGTGTCTGCTGGCTGACCAATTCAGTTTTACAAGTAAATTTTCTGGGAAATAGAAGATGAGACATTTCCGCTTATAAAGAGGAACTAATAAATTTGCCAGCAACTAGAAAAGTTGTTTTAAAAATGCTAATTGTTGGTTACTTCGTGGCGATGATGGTCCAAGATGAATCTTTTATGCTGTAAATGCTTTCGTTTTCAGTTGACTTCAATGCGAAAATTTTAAAATATGACGAAAGATAGAGAAAAAAACCGTCTCGTCTTTATATCACTCCGTAATTCTTTTCCAGCCCTTTTATTCCCAGATTTGACTCTTTCTCATCAAAGTCATCAGAATGCGACTGGGGCCCAGTCAACTCCCCTCCATTTTGCTTTACACTGAGTGCGAGTCAACCGATAAGTCTGCATCTTCCGCTTTCTCTGTCGACTGAAGGAAATCATCGTTCACTACGGCATCTTAAACAAGTCTGTACAGGCTGAGAGGTACGGTTAATATATTTACTCTTGTGTTTGTACTTTATCTTAGTGGAGTTTACCCCGGCTATACGAACCGGTTACCGAAAATAACAGATCCCATTACTGGGGAGTAAATTTTTGAAAGCGCTTCACTACTCACAGACACTGATCAGTTATAAAGATAACTAACTTTGCTTCCCTGAAGATAATTGTGCTCCCAACCTGAGTATACTCACTACAAACTAACGGAAATAACCCACACCTACACCAGGGACTTTTGACGCGTCATGACTTTGTATAGCGACGACTCAAATGTGAGGCAATTGCTGTTGTTACAATAGGCTAAGGAAAGCTTTCATCTGTGTTTGGAACCACTGCAAATGCATTTTGAGAAAGAGTTTCGTTCTTTAAATCGGAAACTAATACTAAGGGGCGAATACATTGACAGCTTTAAATTACTTTATGTTATCAGCGTTATATTCATGTTCACTGCTTTCGGCGAAAGGAAATAAAAGTATTAAGATAACGAATGCAAAACTCTGAGCGACAGCCACCGATAGTGCGTTTTTGGAAGGCTTGATGGCCGCAAAATCTATACGTGTAACTATTGTTGTTGAAACCAAACGCAAGGTGGTCGAGTTGTCAGTTGTTGGTGCCTTCGTTTTTCTAAACGCTTGCTATGGTCGCCGTGCAGATCCGATCAGACGTAACGAAGAAACACTGTCGACTGATATGCGGAAAACACTTTCGAATTATACTCGAAGACTATGAATTTAGATCGCCTTTGATACATTTCTACATTTTCAAAGGGCTTCATTCTTGCTCGAACCGAAACTGTAGCAAAATTTTTCTCAGCAGCTCGGCCGTATTCATAAACGCTAAAAGCGATGGAGCCTAAGTTCTAGGAACCACGATTGACTTATTTATATACTGAATATTCATCCGCGACTCGAGTATACAACCGAAATTGCGTCAGCGTTATGTTCACACCAGAAAGATATACATAATCAGACAAGACAATCTGCATTTGCCATTGCTGTGTAATGTTAATAAAAAGGTTTTTAGAAGGCATGCGGTTTCATACGAAACACGCAAAAATCTCTGTTGACAGGGCCCAATAAGTCGTTTTAATGTTACCTTTATTATGCAAAAAGACGGAAGACTGGCCTGCGGGGTCGGTGCTCAAGACAAAAGATAAATGACAGCCGACACGAACTCCCCTCGTGAATTATGATAGCGATGCATTTTAGCCTTCAATTAAATTTTTGCTCTAACGAGTGCATCTTTAAAAGATTTGCCTTTTTTGTATGATATAATGGGGGGTTTTGTATAGATGTTCTTCAACAACGGCTGGTTTTGTATTACAACCCAGCTCAACTCATTAAAATTTTCTTTGGACCACGACCTACTGGGTGATTTGTCGTGACAAATGGCAAAGCTTTCGTTTGAGTCTTTTTTCTTTATTGGAGAGTCAACCTTCTGCCCTCGAAGCGGATTTCTGTTAGGGACCTCTCAATGAAGTTATTAGGATATCTGCGCGCTTTGAGGCGGATGTCTGGAAAACCCGAATAGCGAATAGCGAATAGTTGCGAATAGCGAATAGCGAGTAGTACGAATAGTCCCGAATAGTGCGAATGGTGGCGAGCAGTGGCAAATAGTGGCAAATCGTAGCAAATAGGGTACCCAGTATCTCGCAGTCAACGTCGAAGCAACATAGGATGGGATTTTCCCGCTAAAAAGCATAGACGCTTATCAGGACTAAAAGTGTTTCTAAACTTAATTTCTTCTGTTTTAATCGCTGCAAAAGCGTTAATACCGCTGTACGTCTTTATCAGGCTATCCTTGTGTTTTCTGTTTTCTTAATGTCGGCCATGGACAACCCGAGCCTGAGTCCTGAGAAGAAAAGGTAATAAATTCACAGAAATTCTGTTGCTTGTTTGGATAATTAATTAACGCAGGATATTAGATCTAAAGCGGTGACTATTGACGACTATTCGTCCCTATTCGCCACTTTTTGCGACTGTTTGCCACTATTCGTACTGTTCGGGACTATTCGCACCATTCGAGACTATTTGCTATTCGCTATTCGCTATTCGGGTTTTCCGGACACCCCTTTGAGGCGTAGTTTGAAGTTTGAGAGGCACTCTCTTTAAGAGTTTGGTCTGAGGATTCTTGTTGCCTTGCCTTTTATAAAACCTCGTTTTAGACCCGAAGGGTGGCATGAGGTGAAATGCGTGTATTGGAAGGTTTCTGTCGGCTTGTAATGGGTCTTGATGTCCAGGATAGAGTCAGTTTGAAATCTATCCCCTTTGTATACTATTGTGTCGAGGAAAGTAATTTTAGCTGTGAATTTGATTGAAGGGTGGAACTGGTTCAAACTCACGGTACTGCCATGGGTACTAAAATGGCAGTTGCATTTGCAAACATCTTTCATGGCAGAAATTGTAAAAAAAAATCATTAGCCAAAGCAAAATCAAGCCAGTAGAATGGAAACGCTACATCGATGACGTTTTCTCCCTATGGAATCGGTCAAAACATGCAAGACATCTATTTGTTCAATGAGCAAGCTAAGATAGTTTTTTGTTGTATGCCCGACATACTGTTCTTATTCCCTGCTCTTGTGGTATATTTGCACACAAGCTCGTGACATCCATAGACACTAGAATAGTGTCTGTGTATTTTAGTTCTTTCCACAAAGTTGATAAAGTCTGTAGTATCCTTAATATAGGATTTTTGCCTTTGAGCCATTTGCTGGAGCAGTCTATCCACAAATGTTGATATTCTCTCCGTTGGCCCTTCACACCCGGATATGATCGGTCTTCCGACCGTTTAGGTTTGTGGATTTTTGTTAGGGTATAAAAGATAGTTATTCCAAGAAGACTGCCAGGGAGTTGTGAAAGCCATTTAGCCATCGTGTAATCTATGTGGTTTCCATTCTCCTTTGCTTCTTTGATATTAAAATATCAAAGAAGGCATCCCCACAGCGTTGAAGGTTTTCCTTCGCTTTGAAACGAAACGAAACGAAACGAAACATAAACAAATCCACACGCGCGAGTGATATCCGCGGCGGAAGAACTGAGTACCATGTCAAAAAATAGGTCCGCAATGAGAACATATGTCTAGTGCAGGACTGATACTGGGAATTGATAGTTTACATGCAGATATTGTTCTGCCCTGAGAAATTTCCTTTAATTATTGGGTTCTAAACATGTGTTTGTATTTTGTTATTATTCATTCCTATTATTGGGTTGAAACACTTTAAAAGTATTGTAGTGCTCTTTGCCCCATGCAGACGTAAGAAATGGTTTTATCAATAACAGCTCAAGGGCATTGATAATTGTTTATGCAAAGTGGAGTATCAGGTGTTTTTATACTTCGTTGCTTTTTTATCTCGTCGTTATTTTTCCTCGCCTCCACTTATTTTTCCTAGGTGCCATAGCATGAATATGTCCCAAAATGAACTAGCATATATCATACATATGGAAACAGGTATGTCAGAAAACAGTTCTGACTGGTTCGACAGAGTGGAATACCAGCAACGGGGTTCAGTTCACCTCACATTCACATGCTTATATGGCTAGAAAATGCACCAGTATTTTCATTTCCTAATAAAATGGTGATGATGCTATTGTTACAGAGTTATTGATGGGTCACTGATAACAGTATTTGTTGTCAATTGCCAGTTAATAACCCGGAACTGCAAAGGCTGGTTAACAGGCAGATTTACAGGCACTCTCACCTGAAGAAACTGAGAAATCAAATGAATGTTGATTTAGTTACCCACCACCACCTATGAGGGCAACCGAAATACTTTATCCTTTGGAGAATAATACACCTCGACACAACATAAAACAACACAACGACACTTGGAAAACTACATATTTAAATGACTTGAGAGAAGGTGAATGTATAAAATTTGAGGAACGGCTTCTGAAGTTAAAAGTTACTGAAAGTAACTATAAATTGGCTATGAAATCAGCATTAAACTCTCCAGCCACATTTTTGACACAACAACCAAATGAATTAAGGATAAATAATTATAATTTACATGTCTTAAGGGGTGGAGAGTAAATATGGATATCCAGTTTGTCCTCGATGGGGCCGAGATCGATCTAAAACTGGACCTTTAAAAGATGCTTTGAAAGCATCTTTTAAAGTATTTTATCCTTCACATTGACTCTTAAGAAAAACATAAGAAAGGTCAATAAATGATAGAAAGCACTGGCTTACTCACCACAATACCCTTTTCCCGGCTCGTTCTGTGAAACAGCGTAAAAGCAAAATATGTCTTGACGTCTCTCTTCGTAAATACTTCGACACAAAACCACTGAGTCTTGAAGGGACAGTAATGCTGGTAATGACGTTAATCTCGGATTTAGTGACGCTAATAAACCGTCTAACGCAAACTTCTCCTCGAACACTTCAGAACCACACTGCTCAGACAGTTTCAAATGACGCTAATTTTCGTAATGCGAAGATTTTGCGACGCCAATATTTGTTGCAAGAGGATTGGTCCAAATATTTGCTTTGACTGCTCGGGTGTCCGCTCGAGCAGAGTGACGAGTAACGGCGACTTATCGATTTTCACTTGAGGTCTTCTTGTTCGTGTAATTTGTCACGAGAGGAGAATTCGTAGAGAATATTAGCACATGACGTCATATTTTGCAGAATATGAAATAGCTACCTATCTTAAATAATAAAAAACAGCAGTGATTAAATTGGGTATAAGACCTCTATGGGGGATTCACTCTCTTACCTTGATCTTCCCTTGCTGCAATATAATAGACCTTATCACGGTTTTCAACGCCATTTTGACGAGTAGGCAAAGCGGTCAGAAATTACAGTGTTTGTATGGGAATCCGATGGCAAATAACGTTTTCCAAAATTGAATTTTACGCAGTTTGTGAATCAAAACGTTAAAATACTAGGTAGAAGATTATATTCACCAAGTTTGAAAGATGTAGCTTGGCTAGCAGACGCTCAGTTAATTTTTATAATTTTCCATACATTTGTCTGTAATCTTTTCTCCGCGAACCGCGTCTAGACGTCCGTCTACTCAGCCAAATTTACAGACAAATATATGGAAAATTAGACCACATTTCCCGCCATTTCGTCTCGGGTAGTTTCGAGAAAGTCGCTCGGGCTGTCTACGTATCGCGTGACTAACATTCTTGGAAGAACTGGGTACTATGTGTAAAAACAAGTTAAAAGGGATTACCATGAGTATAAGGCCTATAGTGAATTTACTCTCTTACCTTGATCTTCTCTTGATTGCAGCCATGTTTGGTGAATTTCAGAGAAGTGGTGATCTATGGGTTTCAATTCTTCGTAAACTGCATGCGTGTTGTATTCCATTACCCACGGAATTGAATACAAGACTGCTGGAAATTCGATCGTAAGACGAACCACGGATAGACACGGTTAGAGAGTAATAAATTATCTCTCCTGTTTACTCATTACCATTATGATATGGGATAGCCAACCCAGACGAGCAAACCCGTCGGGATACACTGAGGGCGCTAATTAAGTAAACAAGCAGGGTGTGGAGGGAGGGGTGACTTTTCAGTTTTGGACTTAGCGCAAATGACACCCTTGCATAATTAGTTAAGTCTTATATAATGCTTATTACGTCATTACAAGGGATAATAAATATTTGCGTTCTGTCAATCTGTTTGTGCAGATGGACAGAACAGCGTATCTAAACCAGCCCGATGTAAATATGGCCTATTTTGCATTCAGAGGGGTTGAGTGTGACGTTTGGCTCGTTATTTCTCTTCAGGCGGCCGATCGTGACAACGCTATTGAGTACGATGTAAGATCCATCAGAATCCTAAGGTGGAACAACATTCATTCAAAGCGGAGTCTGACTTGACTGGAGAANAGGTGTGGGTATTGCCTTGGAGCCACGCCCATTTATTCCTTTCCTTCCTCAGTGTAAATTTAACAAATTGACGGCAGTTCTTCATGCGTCTGTCCGGTTAATGATCATGAATTTCGTCATAACATTGTCAAAGTAGCTGTGGATCCACGAGGTGCTATGACGAAATTTATTGTCAATAACAGGACAAACACATGAAAAACTGACGCAAGTTTGTTTCTGAAATTAAAAATTCCTGTATCTGTCCGCTTATGGACAATAAAAATTAGCTAATGAACGCGCGTGAATTTCTACAGCTACTGTCAGAATGACTCTTGAACTAAACTTCCATCGGTACTAAGTGTGCTCAAATTCTGGGGATGTGTCTGCTGGCTGACCAATTCAGTTTTACAAGTAAATTTTCTGGGAAATAGAAGATGAGACATTTCCGCTTATAAAGAGGAACTAATAAATTTGCCAGCAACTAGAAAAGTTGTTTTAAAAATGCTAATTGTTGGTTACTTCGTGGCGATGATGGTCCAAGATGAATCTTTTATGCTGTAAATGCTTTCGTTTTCAGTTGACTTCAATGCGAAAATTTTAAAATATGACGAAAGATAGAGAAAAAAACCGTCTCGTCTTTATATCACTCCGTAATTCTTTTCCAGCCCTTTTATTCCCAGATTTGACTCTTTCTCATCAAAGTCATCAGAATGCGACTGGGGCCCAGTCAACTCCCCTCCATTTTGCTTTACACTGAGTGCGAGTCAACCGATAAGTCTGCATCTTCCGCTTTCTCTGTCGACTGAAGGAAATCATCGTTCACTACGGCATCTTAAACAAGTCTGTACAGGCTGAGAGGTACGGTTAATATATTTACTCTTGTGTTTGTACTTTATCTTAGTGGAGTTTACCCCGGCTATACGAACCGGTTACCGAAAATAACAGATCCCATTACTGGGGAGTAAATTTTTGAAAGCGCTTCACTACTCACAGACACTGATCAGTTATAAAGATAACTAACTTTGCTTCCCTGAAGATAATTGTGCTCCCAACCTGAGTATACTCACTACAAACTAACGGAAATAACCCACACCTACACCAGGGACTTTTGACGCGTCATGACTTTGTATAGCGACGACTCAAATGTGAGGCAATTGCTGTTGTTACAATAGGCTAAGGAAAGCTTTCATCTGTGTTTGGAACCACTGCAAATGCATTTTGAGAAAGAGTTTCGTTCTTTAAATCGGAAACTAATACTAAGGGGCGAATACATTGACAGCTTTAAATTACTTTATGTTATCAGCGTTATATTCATGTTCACTGCTTTCGGCGAAAGGAAATAAAAGTATTAAGATAACGAATGCAAAACTCTGAGCGACAGCCACCGATAGTGCGTTTTTGGAAGGCTTGATGGCCGCAAAATCTATACGTGTAACTATTGTTGTTGAAACCAAACGCAAGGTGGTCGAGTTGTCAGTTGTTGGTGCCTTCGTTTTTCTAAACGCTTGCTATGGTCGCCGTGCAGATCCGATCAGACGTAACGAAGAAACACTGTCGACTGATATGCGGAAAACACTTTCGAATTATACTCGAAGACTATGAATTTAGATCGCCTTTGATACATTTCTACATTTTCAAAGGGCTTCATTCTTGCTCGAACCGAAACTGTAGCAAAATTTTTCTCAGCAGCTCGGCCGTATTCATAAACGCTAAAAGCGATGGAGCCTAAGTTCTAGGAACCACGATTGACTTATTTATATACTGAATATTCATCCGCGACTCGAGTATACAACCGAAATTGCGTCAGCGTTATGTTCACACCAGAAAGATATACATAATCAGACAAGACAATCTGCATTTGCCATTGCTGTGTAATGTTAATAAAAAGGTTTTTAGAAGGCATGCGGTTTCATACGAAACACGCAAAAATCTCTGTTGACAGGGCCCAATAAGTCGTTTTAATGTTACCTTTATTATGCAAAAAGACGGAAGACTGGCCTGCGGGGTCGGTGCTCAAGACAAAAGATAAATGACAGCCGACACGAACTCCCCTCGTGAATTATGATAGCGATGCATTTTAGCCTTCAATTAAATTTTTGCTCTAACGAGTGCATCTTTAAAAGATTTGCCTTTTTTGTATGATATAATGGGGGGTTTTGTATAGATGTTCTTCAACAACGGCTGGTTTTGTATTACAACCCAGCTCAACTCATTAAAATTTTCTTTGGACCACGACCTACTGGGTGATTTGTCGTGACAAATGGCAAAGCTTTCGTTTGAGTCTTTTTTCTTTATTGGAGAGTCAACCTTCTGCCCTCGAAGCGGATTTCTGTTAGGGACCTCTCAATGAAGTTATTAGGATATCTGCGCGCTTTGAGGCGGATGTCTGGAAAACCCGAATAGCGAATAGCGAATAGTTGCGAATAGCGAATAGCGAGTAGTACGAATAGTCCCGAATAGTGCGAATGGTGGCGAGCAGTGGCAAATAGTGGCAAATCGTAGCAAATAGGGTACCCAGTATCTCGCAGTCAACGTCGAAGCAACATAGGATGGGATTTTCCCGCTAAAAAGCATAGACGCTTATCAGGACTAAAAGTGTTTCTAAACTTAATTTCTTCTGTTTTAATCGCTGCAAAAGCGTTAATACCGCTGTACGTCTTTATCAGGCTATCCTTGTGTTTTCTGTTTTCTTAATGTCGGCCATGGACAACCCGAGCCTGAGTCCTGAGAAGAAAAGGTAATAAATTCACAGAAATTCTGTTGCTTGTTTGGATAATTAATTAACGCAGGATATTAGATCTAAAGCGGTGACTATTGACGACTATTCGTCCCTATTCGCCACTTTTTGCGACTGTTTGCCACTATTCGTACTGTTCGGGACTATTCGCACCATTCGAGACTATTTGCTATTCGCTATTCGCTATTCGGGTTTTCCGGACACCCCTTTGAGGCGTAGTTTGAAGTTTGAGAGGCACTCTCTTTAAGAGTTTGGTCTGAGGATTCTTGTTGCCTTGCCTTTTATAAAACCTCGTTTTAGACCCGAAGGGTGGCATGAGGTGAAATGCGTGTATTGGAAGGTTTCTGTCGGCTTGTAATGGGTCTTGATGTCCAGGATAGAGTCAGTTTGAAATCTATCCCCTTTGTATACTATTGTGTCGAGGAAAGTAATTTTAGCTGTGAATTTGATTGAAGGGTGGAACTGGTTCAAACTCACGGTACTGCCATGGGTACTAAAATGGCAGTTGCATTTGCAAACATCTTTCATGGCAGAAATTGTAAAAAAAAATCATTAGCCAAAGCAAAATCAAGCCAGTAGAATGGAAACGCTACATCGATGACGTTTTCTCCCTATGGAATCGGTCAAAACATGCAAGACATCTATTTGTTCAATGAGCAAGCTAAGATAGTTTTTTGTTGTATGCCCGACATACTGTTCTTATTCCCTGCTCTTGTGGTATATTTGCACACAAGCTCGTGACATCCATAGACACTAGAATAGTGTCTGTGTATTTTAGTTCTTTCCACAAAGTTGATAAAGTCTGTAGTATCCTTAATATAGGATTTTTGCCTTTGAGCCATTTGCTGGAGCAGTCTATCCACAAATGTTGATATTCTCTCCGTTGGCCCTTCACACCCGGATATGATCGGTCTTCCGACCGTTTAGGTTTGTGGATTTTTGTTAGGGTATAAAAGATAGTTATTCCAAGAAGACTGCCAGGGAGTTGTGAAAGCCATTTAGCCATCGTGTAATCTATGTGGTTTCCATTCTCCTTTGCTTCTTTGATATTAAAATATCAAAGAAGGCATCCCCACAGCGTTGAAGGTTTTCCTTCGCTTTGAAACGAAACGAAACGAAACGAAACATAAACAAATCCACACGCGCGAGTGATATCCGCGGCGGAAGAACTGAGTACCATGTCAAAAAATAGGTCCGCAATGAGAACATATGTCTAGTGCAGGACTGATACTGGGAATTGATAGTTTACATGCAGATATTGTTCTGCCCTGAGAAATTTCCTTTAATTATTGGGTTCTAAACATGTGTTTGTATTTTGTTATTATTCATTCCTATTATTGGGTTGAAACACTTTAAAAGTATTGTAGTGCTCTTTGCCCCATGCAGACGTAAGAAATGGTTTTATCAATAACAGCTCAAGGGCATTGATAATTGTTTATGCAAAGTGGAGTATCAGGTGTTTTTATACTTCGTTGCTTTTTTATCTCGTCGTTATTTTTCCTCGCCTCCACTTATTTTTCCTAGGTGCCATAGCATGAATATGTCCCAAAATGAACTAGCATATATCATACATATGGAAACAGGTATGTCAGAAAACAGTTCTGACTGGTTCGACAGAGTGGAATACCAGCAACGGGGTTCAGTTCACCTCACATTCACATGCTTATATGGCTAGAAAATGCACCAGTATTTTCATTTCCTAATAAAATGGTGATGATGCTATTGTTACAGAGTTATTGATGGGTCACTGATAACAGTATTTGTTGTCAATTGCCAGTTAATAACCCGGAACTGCAAAGGCTGGTTAACAGGCAGATTTACAGGCACTCTCACCTGAAGAAACTGAGAAATCAAATGAATGTTGATTTAGTTACCCACCACCACCTATGAGGGCAACCGAAATACTTTATCCTTTGGAGAATAATACACCTCGACACAACATAAAACAACACAACGACACTTGGAAAACTACATATTTAAATGACTTGAGAGAAGGTGAATGTATAAAATTTGAGGAACGGCTTCTGAAGTTAAAAGTTACTGAAAGTAACTATAAATTGGCTATGAAATCAGCATTAAACTCTCCAGCCACATTTTTGACACAACAACCAAATGAATTAAGGATAAATAATTATAATTTACATGTCTTAAGGGGTGGAGAGTAAATATGGATATCCAGTTTGTCCTCGATGGGGCCGAGATCGATCTAAAACTGGACCTTTAAAAGATGCTTTGAAAGCATCTTTTAAAGTATTTTATCCTTCACATTGACTCTTAAGAAAAACATAAGAAAGGTCAATAAATGATAGAAAGCACTGGCTTACTCACCACAATACCCTTTTCCCGGCTCGTTCTGTGAAACAGCGTAAAAGCAAAATATGTCTTGACGTCTCTCTTCGTAAATACTTCGACACAAAACCACTGAGTCTTGAAGGGACAGTAATGCTGGTAATGACGTTAATCTCGGATTTAGTGACGCTAATAAACCGTCTAACGCAAACTTCTCCTCGAACACTTCAGAACCACACTGCTCAGACAGTTTCAAATGACGCTAATTTTCGTAATGCGAAGATTTTGCGACGCCAATATTTGTTGCAAGAGGATTGGTCCAAATATTTGCTTTGACTGCTCGGGTGTCCGCTCGAGCAGAGTGACGAGTAACGGCGACTTATCGATTTTCACTTGAGGTCTTCTTGTTCGTGTAATTTGTCACGAGAGGAGAATTCGTAGAGAATATTAGCACATGACGTCATATTTTGCAGAATATGAAATAGCTACCTATCTTAAATAATAAAAAACAGCAGTGATTAAATTGGGTATAAGACCTCTATGGGGGATTCACTCTCTTACCTTGATCTTCCCTTGCTGCAATATAATAGACCTTATCACGGTTTTCAACGCCATTTTGACGAGTAGGCAAAGCGGTCAGAAATTACAGTGTTTGTATGGGAATCCGATGGCAAATAACGTTTTCCAAAATTGAATTTTACGCAGTTTGTGAATCAAAACGTTAAAATACTAGGTAGAAGATTATATTCACCAAGTTTGAAAGATGTAGCTTGGCTAGCAGACGCTCAGTTAATTTTTATAATTTTCCATACATTTGTCTGTAATCTTTTCTCCGCGAACCGCGTCTAGACGTCCGTCTACTCAGCCAAATTTACAGACAAATATATGGAAAATTAGACCACATTTCCCGCCATTTCGTCTCGGGTAGTTTCGAGAAAGTCGCTCGGGCTGTCTACGTATCGCGTGACTAACATTCTTGGAAGAACTGGGTACTATGTGTAAAAACAAGTTAAAAGGGATTACCATGAGTATAAGGCCTATAGTGAATTTACTCTCTTACCTTGATCTTCTCTTGATTGCAGCCATGTTTGGTGAATTTCAGAGAAGTGGTGATCTATGGGTTTCAATTCTTCGTAAACTGCATGCGTGTTGTATTCCATTACCCACGGAATTGAATACAAGACTGCTGGAAATTCGATCGTAAGACGAACCACGGATAGACACGGTTAGAGAGTAATAAATTATCTCTCCTGTTTACTCATTACCATTATGATATGGGATAGCCAACCCAGACGAGCAAACCCGTCGGGATACACTGAGGGCGCTAATTAAGTAAACAAGCAGGGTGTGGAGGGAGGGGTGACTTTTCAGTTTTGGACTTAGCGCAAATGACACCCTTGCATAATTAGTTAAGTCTTATATAATGCTTATTACGTCATTACAAGGGATAATAAATATTTGCGTTCTGTCAATCTGTTTGTGCAGATGGACAGAACAGCGTATCTAAACCAGCCCGATGTAAATATGGCCTATTTTGCATTCAGAGGGGTTGAGTGTGACGTTTGGCTCGTTATTTCTCTTCAGGCGGCCGATCGTGACAACGCTATTGAGTACGATGTAAGATCCATCAGAATCCTAAGGTGGAACAACATTCATTCAAAGCGGAGTCTGACTTGACTGGAGAATGGCTGCTGCCCCAGACCCAGATGAAATTCTTCGTTCAACAAAAGGAAAAGGAAATTTTCAACGTGTAGCACGACTGTTGATAAGTGGAGGTACTACACTTCTGAGAGAAATTTTCGATCAACTCTCTCCACCAAGTAGTCTTCCCACGATACTAAAACGTCCAGCCACACAGAAACAACTCAAAGCAGCAAAGCTCACCAAGCCACAGTGGGACTGTCTGTACCCTTCCCCAGGGGTGTACGGCAAGTCAGCAGATTTTGATGTTACTTTGCTATTCAGGTTGCTGAGGACAATATGCAACCTCACCCCTCTCACCACCGGATGGGATGCACTGCCCACAAGCACAGACAACAGTTTAGTTGCAGACTTAGTGAGAATTAAATATTACCGTAATTCAGTGTATGGTCACGTGAGCCAAAATATGGAAATTACGGATGACGAGTTCCCACAGCTTTGGGAAGACATCAGTGAAGCGCTGCTTAGAATTGCTGGGCAAATCAGCCCTACGAAGAAAACAGCATGGCAGGAGGCCATTGGTAACTTTTTAAAGGATCCCCTTACAGCCGAGGATGAACGAAATGTCCAGGAACTGCGAAGGTGGTACAAAAATGATGTGGAAGTAAAGGAATTCATAGAGTCCTCAGCTCAAAAAACGAGAAAAAGAATGAAACGTCTGAAGAGGTCTGTTCGAGAGGAAGCCCAATAAATCAGAGATCAGCTCGGAGGGGAACTGAAAACCACAAGTCAAGACGTTCAAAGCCTAGTTCGAGAGGAAACTCAAGACATCAAAGATCAGCTGGGAGAGATGCATCAATCCATAGATAGGCTCAGCTCCTCCGCTGGCACCTCTCAAGCAGCAGGAGGTCAGTAGCTTCTTGCTAGTAGTTTACAAGGGGTGAACAATTATTACATTATCACTTGATGGAAGAATGGGGGAGCTTGTGAAGGTTGGAAAAATCGCGCTAAAATACCGACCAGACACTTACTTAGAGTTATTCAGGTTATAAAGAATATCGAGTAAAGCGGTTGCGAGGAAAACTTATTTAGCAGGCATGAAAACAAATTCCTGCAGGGATGGAAGGAGAAAAAATATCGTGCAGCCAAATTCATGCAATCCCCCATTAATAATATAATGATCCACCGTAATAGTACCCAAAAATATTACTTTGAAAACCGTGCCATTCAGGTCTGAAGTGCATAACACCAACCAAGCTCGTAAAAATAGAAGATGGTTGTGATGTGTCACGTTTAGAATGAACAGCTCGTCTATTTTCTCGACCTTGTTGGAAAAGAAAGGGACTGTTAACAGTCTGTATCACAGTAACAAATACAAGTGTTTGGCTAAAGCGGAGAGGAGAAGAGAGGGATATTACCAACCACATGACAAAAGCGAACATGCCGAGGTATATGGTGTTGTTCCTAGTATTTTTAGCTTCCGCGCGCATGTGCAATAAAATTGTATTATTTCCCAACAGCTCGTCTTGGAGTGAGGATTAATGGCAAAACAGTCCAGGGAGTGGCAATGGTACATGTGACGTCGCGTAAACGAAAGGCAGACACTAGTTTTCCCACAGCACAGCAAGTTTTGAATCTCGCGGCGTCAAAATATTTGAAAACAATTGACCCATCGAAACCAGAGGACTTAAATGGCTTTGTTTATTACATGGAAAAAGTACGAAAAACATTGCTCGTGGATACTAAGTCAGGGAGTTTGATCATCACAGTTGAATGTCGCTCTCTGGAAATACTTGACGGATTGTGGTCTGATTATTGCACTGGCTTTCTGAATAAAATGGTGCAAAAATTCCTTGTGACCGATGAGGTTTTCGGAAGGGGATGTTTGATTCAACTATCTACAGCTATTATCCAACTGATTGAAAGACAGCATCAAACGGGAATGTGAAACGCGGGACCTTATGTGTGGCACACAAGAGCTTTAGTCGGGTTGCTCATTTTCAGGTGTTTTTCAGTTATTTTCGTACAGGTTTCCTTTGGCCGACCACGTGTTCTCTTACTCAGGCGTGTCCAATTTTAGGGTGGAGACTTCCAGGTGGGACCGCACCCATCATACGTCTGTATTACTGCATGCTCTTCACCTATTTCAGTTGTTTCTTTTGTTCCGTTTTCTGTAGCAATAGTTATTTTTTTTGTGAGATGGGATTGCTAACCTCCCACTTTGTCTGACTTAAGGACTGCATGGGGGAATGAAACCAGAGGATCCGGCAGGCAGAGTTAATATAAGCATTTATTGTGATTTCATTATATTTCTTTATTTCAGTTAATGGACCGCAAAGCTTAACAAGTAAGAGGCCTATCGGACTCGCTCTAGAGTTAACACGAGAAAAAGGGTCAGAACAGCTGACACTAGGAGACGATCCTTCTATGGTAATACCTGGAAAAGAACCTTGTGAGCATAGACTGGAACAAGGGCTGAATGAGGTGGAACCAAGAGAAGGAACTCATGATGTGACACTTCAAGCAGGCGGGCCAGGTGCAGATAACGAATTAGATACCCAGGTTCAGAGAAACGAAAGAACCCCACCAGGTGCGGGCACTTTTGGTCCTCCCGGATGGCAGAAATTTCACATGAGTGCAACGGAACACTTGGGTTTTCCGGGTGGTATGCAAATCATCGTTCAGATTCCGCTGGCTGGACAGACGATAACTTTGAATGTAGAGCCTAGCGATTCTATTGCGAGTGTGAAGGAGAAAATTTATAAACAAGGGAAAATTCCATATTACCACCAGTGGCTGACCTTTAAAGGAGAAAAACTTGAAGATGATCGCACTCTTCGTGACTACAATATCACGGGTGAATTCACCTTAGTCTTCCTGATTGACCTTGTCAGTGTTGACATGCAAATTTTCATCAAGACGCTGACTGGGAAGGTGATTACTTTGGAAGTCGAACCTTTGACCGCCATCGCAGTTGTGAAAGAGCAAATTGAAGCCGAAGAAGGGTTCCCTCCTGACCAACAGCATCTCATTTTCAGGGGTCTGGAACTTAAAGATGACCAGAAGTCTTTGTGGTATTACAACATCGTAGATAAATCAACTCTACATTTAAAGCTTGAGGGACAACTTGGTAGAGGACTTGTTAATGTGGAGATGCCGACTGGAGAGACGGCAGTGTTAGACTTCTCACCAAGCGATAGTATCGAGGACGTGAAAAGGAAAATTTGCGACAAAGAAGGGATCCCACCCGACCAGCAGTGTCTCAGCTTTGACAAAAAGGAACTTTTTGACCAATACACTCCGAGTGACTATAACAATCAGACTGAATCAACCTCACACTTGGCTCTAAGAGATTCTGATAGAGATTGGCAAGTTTTCGTGAAAACGCGAACTGGGAAGACCGTGATCACGTTAGACGTTGTGCCGCAGAGCACTATCCAAGATGTGAAGAGGAGAATAAAGAACGAAGTAGGAATACCAACCGAACAGCAACAACTTTTCTATGACGACGAAGAACTCATATTCTACGACGAGAGTCTGAGAAAATACAACGTTAAAAGAGGCTCAACTCTTATTTTGATTCCGATATTTCGAATTCACTTCAAAATGTCAACTGGAAAGACGATCACATTGAAAGCTGTATCGCAAGATACTATCGGAAGATTGAAAAAGAGAATATTTCAGGAAGAAGGAATAGCAGTGGAATGTCTGGACATCTTCTTTGCTGGGAAAGAACTCAAAGATGAGAACACTCTTGAAGACTACAACATTGTAGACGAATCAACCCTGCAGTGTTACATACAAATCTTCGTTAAGACGCTGACTGGGAAGATCATCATTTTGGAAGTTGAACCGGCCATTTTCATAGAGGAGGTAAAAGTCAAAATTCAAGACAAGGAAGGAATTCCACCTGAACATCAGCATCTCATCGTTGCTGGTAAGGAACTTGAGAATGGTCGCACTTTAAGAGATTACAACTTTCGGGACAAATCAACCTTAACGTTGGTTTCAATACGGTGTATGCAAATTTTCGTGGAGATGATGACTGGGGTTGAGAAGACGATCACTTTGCAGGTTGAACCGACAACGTCTATCGAGAAGGCAAAAAGTAAAATTCAAGACAAAGAAGGAATCCCACCTGAACAGCAGCGTCTCTTCTATGGTGGCAAGGAACTCGAACATTGTCACACTTTAAAGGACTACAACATTGAAAGTCTGTCAACTCTGCATTTAGGTGTCACCAGGACGATTTACGTGATGGCGCCAACTGGAAAGAAGACTGGTTTAGATGTCTTACCGAGCTATAGTATCGAGAAAGTGAAAAAGAAAATTTACGACAACGAAAAGATCCCACCCGACGAGCAACATCTCACCTTTGATGGCAAGGAAATGGAAAACGGCCGTACTTTGAATGACTACAACATTGAGAAAGAATCGACCATACATTTGATTTCAACTGAGATTTGCTGAAAACGGTGGCATGATAATTCACGTTAAGACTCCAGCAGCGGAGACGATTACATTACACGTTATGCCGGGAGATACCGTCCAAAATGTGAAAGGGAAAATAAATGATCAGCTGGAAATTCCGCCAGATCAGCAACAACTGTTCTTTGAAGACATGGAACTTAAAAACGATGGCAATCTAAATGACTACGGTATAGCTTCAGATTGTACACTATCCATGTGTCCCTCTGGCAAAGTTGGTCGAGACAACAAGTGCGTCTTGATGTAAATATACGCACGCACTGATTGAAGACACAAAACTGAATAGCCTTAGAAGGAGTTTCCAAGAGTTGGTAATGACATATCAAATCTACAGCGGTGGGATCTACCGTAAACAATTTGAGTGCTGCCTTCCAGTTATGGCCGAGGTGCTTGGAAAACAAACTTGCATTTCTTCATGTGTAACAGATCACTGGTGTTACTGGAGCTCCAGGGCTAAATCTCATCAGAGACATTGCAGGCGTAGTCATCACTGACGAAAAGCTGTTGTAACAGGGCTGGTGGAACGAGACAGATTTGGAAAGTGGGATAATGGAAGACCTCTCGAGCTGACAGCGGAAGAGGGACTGAGTGAGATGACACCAGGAGAAAGAATTCAGGAGCTGACATCGACGGTAGGAGGACTTGGTACAGATAGAATATTACATGAACAATTCCAGGAAATGGAAATGACCTCACTGTTCAGATTATGAAAACAATAATGGATCAGATAGAAATGCCGAGAGAGTAGCAACAGGTTAGCGGTTTCACGTTAGCCGTCTGCCCACATTTGGGATTTGCGAGTTAATTCACCGGCTACCGTGTTTGTTTTCATTCGTTCGTTCACTTCTGTTTTAGCTGAGAAATCGTCTTCAAAACTTCGTTTCTGTGAAAAAGAATTCTATAGTTAATAAGCGAAATAGTTGTTAAAAGTAGTATTTTCCCTCAAACGTGAGATTGTTATGTTTTAGGGTGCAAAAAACCTTGCAGTAAATCACTTACCTCTAGAACGTGGTCTAGCCGTACAAACGTGAACCTCAAACTGCAAACCTGACGCCATCGTACTGGTCACGTGACTTCTTGATGTTCACGGTTCGCGAGAAATGCCGAAAAACCTCGATCTTAAGGTCTCTAATTAGCTAACATCAAACTCGAAGCTTATGTTACCGTACTCTGATCCACTACAGTTTAGGAAACAGCCCTAAGAAAATACGCGCGCTGATTGGCTAAAAATCGTGTTTCTATTAAACAATTAGATTATGATCATGAATTCGAGATTTCTATCGCGTGTTGCGCCCTCGTCAACTATCACGCATAGAAATCCAGAGCGAATAATCTTATTGCTTAAGTATAAATCTACCAGTCGTTCAAAACCCTATCTAAATCCTCTTCAGAGACACTTCGAAAACGCCAAGAAGCGGTCGTCCGATTTTTTATAACAAGGGCACACTGCTACGCTACTCACTTCAAATAACAATTGTTGCTGATCTGGCGGTATTTCTAAAATAAAAATAAAGGATCGGTTAGTTAGTCCCTTACCGGCGGCAGAAACACTTTAATGCACCTAGACGCTCTCAGAGCGTTTACCCTGGCTTCGTACCGCAATTTCAAATCATACTTTACAAGTAAGATTATTGAACACTAAAAAAAATTAAAAGAATCAGGATATTTTAACACAGGAGTTGCGCTTAGATATTTACTATTTAAGTTTCTTCGTTGAGTATCTGCCAATCGCATGTTGTTTGCCTCATCTTCGAAGTTCTGTTTGCAGCGATTCTTGATTTTTTCAACATCTGAGGTGTTCGTCTCAGCATCAGAGCTTGTTGTTAAGTCAGTAGTCATAGATTTTTGCCAGTGTTTTCGTAGTTTGAACGCGTACATGGCTCACAAAGTTTGTTCTCTCGTAAGAACGAGCATGAACTTTGCTTATTTGGCAGGCTTTCAAGCAAGAGAGTTCGTGGACCGTCCCGTTCCGAAAACGGTCAACATCTTTGTATGTGAGATCAACGCATAAGGCGTGATTCTTTCCAAAACTTACTTCACAAAACACCGTATTCGTTATTTTGCGTCGTTCACGAAGAGCGATCACACAATAAAGCAAGCTGTCGTATTCTCGTCCCCAGTTCCCACTCTCTACGCATGAAACGTCTGGGACCATGACCCCCCTTTTAGCGACCAAACGTCTTGCATTTTTTGACTCGAGTTTTCCTATGGAAGCCCGAGTAAAAAAGACATCCTGCAAGCTAGGAAAATCCCGAGAAATTTTGACTTCACTGTTCAGTAACTTGAAAAGATCTACGTCATGCAATAAGTTCTTTTTTCGGTGTTAAGAATAATTTTTAAATAAACGAAAACTTCTAACTTATTGTGTGCTTTTATCGAGTAACTGAAACATGCATTGGATTGCATGGACAGTAATGTAGTATAGTAAGTAGAAAACATATTGTTTGTGATTGTATAGAAAGACATATATGGTAATTTGTTAACTCTTGATGTACAAATATTTACATAGGATGACCCCTGAGTATCTGAGTTCTAGATTTGTGTTTTGAAACGACATAACATCATATCGATTAAAGAATACTGAAAATAAATTGGCTCTTCCTCAGTCCCGCACGAATTATTTGAAGAAGAGTTTCTCTTACAGCGGAGCCAGGTTGTGGAACAGCCTATCAAGTGACCTTCGTGCAGCAACATCTTTACGTGATTTTAAACTTAACATACGTCTCCACAGTTTTGAATGAGCTTTGACACGGCATCCTTGTAAAGTTTCTTTTAGTATGTAGTTTAGGTTAGTTTAGTTAGGGATAATTAGTTGATCTTTTATCATTTTATAATCTTTGCGGAAGGATTTACCGTGTGTAAATAAAGTTACCATTACCATTACCATTACCAGAGTGTTATTGTGTAACTATTCTTCTTGATGAACAAGCAATCACAAATCGGAGGCGGATCCAGGGGAGGGGGTTGCAACCCCCCCCCCCTCTCTCCCTTTAGGCAGTATTTTTTTCGTTATTTGTTTGACTCATCGTAAAAATAATAGAATAAATAGTTTTATGTATACTTCTCGATACTTTGTTTCACTTTCACCAATTGACTGATTGTCTGTTAGGAAAAGATAATGAACATTTCGCGACTGCATTATTATTTTTGTTTTTCTGGTTGATAGAAGGGAAACTCCAGATTTTATACCATGGCTTCACAAACGTTTTTTCAAGTGTGAGGAATGCCGGAAATTCTGTTTCCGAGGGTAAAAAAATTTACGGGGGAGGCATGGCTTCGGACCCTCTTGAAACTTGCGCCCGGGGCGTTCGCCATCCACACCGATGGCTTCGAAAGTTTTCAAGTTGTATAATCCTCCCTCTCAGGAATTCCTGGATCCGCCCCTGCAAATATGCAAGAAGTATCCACAGGGGCGAAAGGAATAATTGTTTTCATTAAATTCTTCAATCGAATGGATGATGTGGGCATTTCAGTATTTAGATCTAACCGAGGGGAGACGAAGTGCTGGTTTGAAAAGGCGGCAAAGTTTGTCACGTGTCATGAATGCGAGCGAGACAGAGTTTTCGGAAATATCCTTCGTTAAATCACTCGGCTTTACAGCCCGGGGAGGGCTCCCACATAAAAAGGACGGGGATGCTCGTCGAATATCGTAAATTTTGAAAAGAACCCCTAAGAGGTACCAAGGTCCTGCTTTGTGGGCGTGGCTTAAAATTTTTTTCACCCCTTAGATCAAGAGGCACCAATTCTAAAACAAAACATCATATCCTGGTCTTTTTCTTTTCCGGCTCAATACCCTAAAAGGTACCGTAAAAGCTCCTGCTGTGGAATTTTTGAGGCTGAACACCCTATGAGGTACCAAAACCGCTTTTTTTAACCACTCAATTGTACGACGAGCACCCCTGTACTGTCCTTTTCATATGGGAGTCCCACCCCCCCCCGGCTCTAAAGTTCCACCGCTCTCTCCGGCTGGTTGCGTTCTTTTTCGGGGGGGGGGGGGGGGGAAGAGGGGTGGGGGCGAGCACAGGCTCATTTCTCGAAACAGCAGCTGGCAATAGAGCCTGGTCAAATAAAGCAAGAGTAAACTTGTGAGAAGCGGCTGCCGTCATCAAAATTGCAGATTTTGTTGCTCAGAATCAAAGGAACAAGATTTATCTCTGTTTCTGTGTTCGACTTTACATCTGCAAGAGGGATATCACTTTTAACCCGAGACGCTCTTTGGGCTCGTCACGCAATCTTCTTCCCACACAAACGAGACGTTCGTGTGAGGAGGATGATTGCGTGACGAGCCGAGGCCCTCCCTTTGTCACCCATTGCACAATATTGTTATAATTCCCGTGAGCCTTCACAAACCGAAATTACGTCCGCTTTTGATCATGAGGAACTTGCATTCTCTGAAAGATTATCGGACCCAAAGAAGGCAACTTCTACACGTGAGAATCTTAGATTTACTAATATTTCAATTGTGATTGTATTGCTCCAGTTTCCATTTTTGTAGCTTTACGAACAGTCAAGGCGAGAGCGCAGTCCAATGCAAGGAACTCCGTTGAATAGCTAGCCCTTTTCACGCAGTTTCACGGTTACCTTTCTCATTTACATTACAAAATAGTGCAGCATGTATGTGAGGCAATTTCGGGCTACTTTGTAGTTTCAGCCTAAAATTACCTCGCATTCACGTTGCATTACATTGTTACAGCGCAAATAAGGAAAGTTATTCCGTGAAAAGGGCTATCGAGCTAATTAATATATTCGCTTAATTAATATTCCCCAGAAGAACTCGTGTCAAGACGCTGTAACGAGCTAACATGCAAAACTTACAGCTCAGTCATTAATTTAATGTGTGAAGTACCATTTGATAATTCTATAATTAATTTGGTCTGAGTTATGTTAAATTTAAATTATCAACGACTCGAAAACATGAATTGAAATAACACATTCCCGTGCTATATACAGCTGCGATACCATCTTTATGAAATGTCCAAACGAATTCAAATAACCTTTCTTTTAAATTAGTGCAAGATTGGAAAACTTTGCCAGCGAAAAATTTAAAACTTTGGCGTGCTTTTATACTGGTAAATTTAGCATTATTTTGCACCACAAGTTTGGTTGACTTGTCACGCAATCTCTCACTATAGAGAGCGTGCGTTGGGCCGGGGAGATTGTGTGACGGGGCAAAGTAATATCTCCATAGGAAAATGAAAGGAGGCTTACTTGGTCACAATCATAACAAGGTAGAGCGTGGACTTTGCAATTTTTTTTCAAGGTGCCATCTGGCTACTTGTTATGTCTGTTTATGTGTGATTTTTAACACAATTTGAACTACAGTAACAGTTTGGTTCACAGGCAATGCCAGCTGGCCATTACAATAATGTCTATTTTTTATTCGCAGACCTCTGATAATGGCCACAGCATGAGAAGTGGTCAATCTTGAGTTGAAACTTGTCTATACCATAACTGTCAAGACATGCGATATTCTATTTCTACTGTTGTCTGTCTAAAGCAATGGCCACTACCCCAGACATAGATAAAGTGCTTCGTTCAACAGAAGGAAAAGAAAATTTTCAACGTCTTGCACGACTGTTGATAAGTGGAGGCACTACACTACTGAGAGAGATTTTTGATCAACTTTGCCCACCAAGCAGTTTTCCCACAATACTGAAAAATCCGGCCACAGAGAAACAACTCAAAGCAGCAAAGCTTACTAAGCCACAGTGGGACTGTCTGTACCCTTCCCCAGGGGTGTATGGCAAGTCAGCAGATTTTGATGTTACCCTGCTGTTCAAGTTGCTGAGGACAATATGCAACCTCATCCCTCCTGCCACAGGCTGGGATGAGCTGCCAACAAGTACGGACCATAGTTTAGCTGCAGATTTGGTGAGAATTAAATATTATCGAAACACAGTATATGGTCATGTCAACCAACAAATGGAGATCGCAGATGACTTTCAGTTTTTATCTCTGTGGCAAGAAATTAGTCGAGCACTTGTGAGAATTGCAGGTCAAATCAGCCTGGCAAAGAAAGTTGAATGGCAAGTGTCTATCGATAAGTTTTTGAAAGATCCCCTCACAGTGGACGATGAAAGAAATGTACAGGAACTGTTGGAGTGGTATAGAAATGATATGGAAGTAAAGAAATCCTTAGAAGAACTGAAAGCTTCAACTCAGAAAGGGTTGGAACATTTGGAGGCAAGTTTAAAGTTTATTACAATGTTTACTTGTCATTCTACATAAATGTGGTTGTCATATTGTCATAAGATTCTTAGCTCTTCAGGAGATCTTAGTAGCCAAGGGACTACAGTTCATAGTTTCTTGTGGTAGCTCAATGCCTGATTGGACTGAGTGACAGATTGCTATTTAGAAGGTCATACTGTAGGCCTGGGGGATTCCCATATAAACAGGATTGGGGATACTCATCAGAAATTTTGAAAAGAACCCCTAAAAGGTACCAAGACCTTGTTTTGTGGACATGGCTTGAAATTGTTTTCACCCCTAAGAGGTACCAATTCTAACACAACACATTATCCCCTGTCATATTTTTTCAGCTCAGTACCCTTAAAGGTACTGCAGAAGCTCCTGCTGAGGACCTTTTGAGGCTGAAAAACCTTGAAAGCTATGACCAGCACCCCCGTCCTTTTTATAAGGCAGTCCCCCCGGGGACTTTAGGTTCAAATGATTGTCCCACGTCCACGGCTAGCTGATCAACATCTTATCATAGAGTTGGTAGGTAAAGTCTTGAACCAAGTGGCCCATCAGAAAAAAAAAATACACAGATGTGTATTACTCTTTTTTTATAAACGGTAAATGAAAACCAGAATTTGCCAAAACCGAAAAGATGATCATCGTCTTTTGTCAAATCTCAAACAAAACTTGATAAATCTGAATTGGAATGTGGAATATAAATGCAGTCGAACCTCCACTAACGGCCACAAGGTTCTCCACGACGGTCACCTGAGTATCTACAAAGGCCACCTCTCCACCACAGTGGCCATAAAAGCACGTCCCAACTGCCAAAATAACCTCTGAACAACGGCCAGTTAATAAACGACTGACGAACGGTGTATTCAAAACTCCATTTTTTATGGTAAAGGCCGGGGTCGCGAAACTTGATCCGTGCCGCGCGTCGTTGGTCTCTGTTTCTGTTTGATTTATGTTTTATTGATACATTTTGATTTTGTTACGTATTTATATGTTACAATAAGCATTTTTCGAATTTTGTCACCCCGAAAAAAAACAGATGTCATTTTACACCCCTACCTTCTCCTTCCTCGAGTGTCCGCACGTTAGCCTTTTTGCCGGGAGAAGTTGGAACAGGCTCCGGGCGAGGACGAAAAAGCGAAGTAGCCTACCGTACGTGTAGCCGACTACACGTAGGCTGCGAGCGAAGCGAGCCAACGAGCGCGAAAACGAAGAAATCGGGAAGTCAATAATGAAGTGATCTCCATGTATCTCGCAAAACAAAATAGAGATTTGCTAGGATACAAGAAACGAAACAGAAAACGCCGTATATCTGATGATTTCTTCGTGTCCGCTAAGGAGTTTGTACTAGCTATTGATTTGAAAATGATGTTTGAAATACTAGGATTGTTATGCATATCACGTTGTGACCGCCAAGCCGTCTTAAAAGAATTAACGTTGCCCACGTCATATAAAATTTATGAGCAGCTTCCAAGTCTAATTTGTAAATTAAAACGATTATGAAGTACCGCATGCTACCCCTCCCCCTTTTAATCCCACACTTGTGTCTGTATTCTTTATGTCTCCTAAAGGGAGCTCAGCAGTGTTAACAGGAGTTAATTGCAGGACTAAGAGGGTCTTCTTCTTGGCTAGACAGAGAACAAAAATAAATTTTTCAGTTCAATTAATTTTTATGTTTTTAACCTTTTAATTATTTGTTAATTTCGTCAGTTCGCTATTTTTTGTTGGCTTTAATGACTTTAAAGAAATAAAAGTTTGTTTGTTTCTAGGGAGTTGTAGACGGAACAGTACATGCAATAGAAAAGAAAAGCCAAGTCTTAGAGAATACCATGAGAGAGGAAGCCCAAGACATTAAAGATCAGCTTGGAGGAGAACTTAAAACTACGACCGAAGAAGTTCAATGTTTAGAGATAGCAGTTCGAGAGGAATCACAAGACATTAAAGATCAGCTTACAAAGGTGCAACAATCCATAGACAGGTTGAGCTCCTCCGTTGCCAGCTCTCAGACATCGCTAGCACCTTTAATAGAAGCGGGTCAGTTTAAAATACATCTTAAAATTGTTGGCAACTTTTTGGCCGTGCAGAGAACTATTTGATAAACAGTAAAGTATTATTAGACAAGATAATCATAATTAACTGCAGAAAATTGCCTAATTTGTTCTGCAGAAGGATATAGAATTGTTATAATAATGTTGAATGATTATTATAAATTATTATAATTATTATAATCATTATGATCATTATAATTATTATAATTATTATTTTTATTTATTATTAGGAGCTTGAATCGACTTGTGATAAGTAAATTGATGAAGAACTGTTCAGGACCCGTTCAGTAGAAACACATAAATATACCTAAATGTCCAGCAATATTAACCTACTAATATGTCAGGGAACCCTACTTTTATGGTCTCTATTTAAATTTCCTCGTCACTGGCCTCCTACCCTGTAATTTCTTCTCTTTAACTCGTGAAATTAAGAAATTATTGACTGCCGACCGACCCACTGACCCACCCACCCACTGATCGATCGATCGAAACTGAAGAGAAATAATTACTGTTTCCCAACAGCTTTCCTTAGACTTCGGATCGATGGCGAGGCCATCTCGGGACCTGCTTTACAAGGAGGATCTTCACATTTGGCGTTAGTCTCACCGGAACATGATGCAGGGATCCATGAGGCGGCATTTGTACAAGCAGAGGTAACAGAAGATGATGGAACAGTAAGCATCAAAACTAACCCTGCTCCCACAATCCAGGACGTGTTAAACCTCGCTGCACACAAGTACTTGCAGACGATTGACCCATCCAAACCAGAGGATTTAAATGGTTTTGTTTATTACTTGGAGAAAGTACGGAAGGTCTTGATTGTGGATACTCAGTCGGGGAGTTTGATCATCACAGTAGAATGCAGGTCTCAGGAAATACTTGACGGATTGTGGGAAGACTATTGCGCAGGCTACTTGGATGAAATGGTGCAAAAATTCCTTGTGACAGAGGAACTATTGAAGGAGATTGGCCTCACAGAAGTGAAACTTACGACAACGATTCTTGAAGAGGACTATAGAAATTGTCTAGAGTATTTCTGGTCGACTGATGGTAAGTAGGGATACTTCTTGCACTTCTAAATGCATTAAAGGAGCTCAGTCATGGTTTGCACATTTTGAAAAGTTTAGCCTAAATTTTTCAAATTCGTCGTTTGCAATCCGTGTCAATCTTCGCCATCCTTGACCATCCTTGTTCCTTTATGGTTTATTATTATCTCTTTGATGTTTTTCTATCTTAGTAAACTATTATGTTCAGGTTTCCTTCCATTTAAAGGAGATTTTATACGTGGCCAAAACAAAAAAGGCAAAACACCGTGAATGAGCTCCTTTAAACTTTCGGGTATCTGATACGACAAGGGGAACGGGTTATCCAATCCCGTCCACACTACGCCGGAGGATTTTGAAAACGGAGGTTTCACTCTGAAGACGCATCAAATGTTTTCCATCCACACTATGCCGGAGGAATTTAAAAACGCAACAATAACCGGTCATTTTGGAGGGAAATCACATAATTATTAGGACGCCGCCGTTTTCGAAAAGCTCCATTTACCGGCAAAATGTTTTCCGTCTACACGAAAACGCAAAACCGACCGTTTTCCAATTCCTCCGGCGTAGTGTGGACCCTGCCTCAAAGACAGTCATCCTAGAACACTTTTACAAGCAGCTAAAAATCCCATATCATCATGAATTAGACGTGTTACCAAACGCGTTCCTTGCTCTGTGAAGTCTGAAGGTAAAGATACATTTTTTTCATTTTAGTCTCCCGTATTATTTACTCCAGATCAAATAGACCAACCCTGTTTAACCTGCTTGATTGAGGAAGCCTACTTAATATATATAGACCCTTATCAAGGAAATTCCACTGGAAAATAACTAAATACGCAGCCATAATTAAGCATCGTGTTCATTTAATCCTTCAATAATTTGTTTTCCTTCAGATGCCATTCCATGGGAGATGAAAATTTTCGTCAAGACCTATTCTGAGAATACTGTCATCACATTATACGTTGAACCATACGATACCATTCAGAGTGTGAAAAGGAAAATATCCTGTGAGGTAGGTATACCAGTCGACCAACAACAGCTAATATTTCTCGGCGACATTCTTGAAGATGGCCGCACTTTGATTGACTACAACATTCAGACAGCGTCAATTTTATGGTTAGACGTACCGGTATCTGATTATGCCCGGCAAATTTTCGTGAAGACGCAAAGTGGAAAGACCGTGATTACAATAGTGATCGTACCGGGACTCACTGTCCAAGCTTTGAAGAGAGAAATAAGGGACGAAACAGGAATACCGACCAACCAGCAACATATTATTTTTGACGACTCTGAACTACAAGATGATGGTACTCTGGAACACTACCGTGTGCGATCTGGATCTGTGTTATTGATGCTTCGCTACCGCGAGGCTCGTTGCAAGATGTGCGTAATAAGTTGATTGAAATACACTCATATCACTCGCTTTGCTAGCACACTGACTAGGGGTGCGTTTCTTTAGGGGAATCCAAGATCGTGTTCATCAATCAAAAAAAAACAAAAAAAACAAAAAAAAGGGATTTTGCGTTTCTTTACTAAACAGATTAATGCAACTCACTCAGAGCATGGTGCAAAGAACACTTTTGTTTGACCTGGGCCCCGTTTCTCGAAATCCTCGGAAACTTTTCGGGCTCGTAAAGCCATTTTTAGTTCATCTGTATCTAAACACGGAGTAGTGTATACGCCTGAAACTTCATGTATGAAGGGAACCTCTGTTCATATTAAGAATACATGAATAAAACAGCGCTGTAATGGTTAGGTTCGATATTTTGCTATGGCTTTCCGGGCCCGAAAAGTTTCCGGGGCTTTCGAGAAACGGGCCCCTGGTCGGGAACAACTGTGATATTTATAACGAACTATCCACTTCTCTTTGTGGAATATGTTAAACATCTTAAGAGTCATCTAAGGTTTAAATATAACCGATAAAGACAAATAGCTGAGCCCGCAGTCGTCGGAGCGGTTGCTTAGTAACAGGTGATGAGATATATCCATGGTGATAAGCTGAAGCGACTAAGAACTTCCGAGTTACCATATACCATGTATTGATAGACTGGCCCGCCTAGACTAGCATAGCTATTCGCGTGCCAGTCCAGCTGTAAAATGTAGATTTTATCAAGAAATAAAAAATGACAATGATGATGATGAAAATATAGTTTTCGGTTATTTTCTCCAAAAGGATTTTTGACAGAGAAACGTTAGAATTGAGGAGCGACACAGATTTCAAGTCGAATTTCTAAAATGGCTTACTCTGCAGGGCATGCGTGTTGATCATGTCTGCAACTAAGCTTGTGAAAAGACGAATCAAAGGGCATTGATCTCTTTGAACCGTTCTCTATATAATCGTGCAGCCAGACAAAAAAGCGACATGCTTCAGTTTACCGCGGGTCGCACAAATATGGCCAAAAAATCCTTTGATTATAATGAACGTAAAATTTTTAATAGGTTAAGCCAATAGGATAATGTTTTTAGCTGTTTTGTGTCATTTATTGTTTTATTCCTGATTTTCATTATTCCATTTAACGGTAAGTAGTCAGTTTTTGTAAGTATGTCAATTTTATCGGTAGCGCCTCTGTACCATGGTGAAAATTAAATAAAGATATCAATCTATAACTCCTTTCAGTTTTATTCCGTGAGGACAAATCTGAAAGTTCAGTTCCTTTCCCCAAGAGAGAGGCATTTCATATTCGAACCGATGAAAATATTCCATAGTGATGACGTAACATTACCGGAATCAGAGCAACGTCTCTAATTGGTTGTTCCTGGTTGTTTGGCGTGCGAGGAAAATTCCATATTTGGATGACAACCAAATATAGCGCTACGTTATCAGTACGTTGTATACATTGTTTGATGTTGTTTGTAGGCGGTGCTGAAATTGGGTTAACTATTGAGATAGTTAAAAAAAAAAAAAAATTAATGCCAGTGACTTAACTTGTTGTGGGTTGTTGTGCAAAAAATTGAATTTCTAGAGAGGGGGTTGCCAAAGAGGGGAACGTGTTAAATAGAAATAGAGCTTTAAAGATACCCTAATGTCAAACTCTTCCTTCCTCCTTCCATTATTTCTCCCTCTTAGAACATGACTTACCTGTCCCCCGGGCCGAGGACCCCGCCTTCGCCCCTCTCCCTATGCCCCGAAAAAACTGTCCCGAAACAAATGTAGGAATCGCCAATTCATAACACGAAAACTCGCTCGCACGTCCCCGGAAACTCCGACAATTTTAGTTTTGACTGTTGTACTCGCCCACGGAATAGACAAGCGCACGTTTTCTATCAGCTGTTGTCATTATTGGTGACGATATTATCGACAAACTGGAAAAGGCGTGAATACATTACGACTTCATTGAGTTTTGTAAGTCA